ATTGAATTGAATTGAATTAATATACAATAGTAACAATGAAGGCTGTCACATTGAACTGCATGACGCGTTTCAGGAATCATTGTTGAAGAAATCTCAGCTCGTACACAGATCATGTGTAGAGAGCCTGAGATTGTGGCAGAGGGTTTGGAACCAACATCAATCCATCCATACAGTACATTTCCCACTGGATATTTCTGCTTCTACAAACTAGGACCAACCAGGAGCCGGCAGCCACCTCCCTGCTTTCCCACCATTGAAGCTCGCTAATAGGGATTATCACTTCCTTTAGCACACCAGCTAAATAGATACAGCCGCCAAACTGTTTCCAAATGACGCCAAACCAGGCAGCAGGTCGCAAGGCAGCTTCTCTTGGTGTTCCTCCTCCCGGAAGGAGTCATAAAATCCATATTCCAGCAAGACCCCGATTCAAGGGGCGTCTTCCCTGGATTTTAGAGGCTTTCCCTGGCCCGACTGCGTCATCTAAAGGCTACCCAACCGCCCTTCCAAAGCCAACAGTTTCCACCATGACAGACAGGGCTTACGAGACGGCAGCACTTATGGATGTCAGGTCCAGCACGCACGTTGGTGCTGCATGAGACCTGCAACCTGACCAACTTGTCGGATAAAGAGGACAGACATCTTGTTTCTGGGGGCGGCTTTGCTCTTGCATCAATGCAAAAGAGGTGTGTGGTGAAGTAGAAGGCGAATGAAGCTTTACAGCTCTGCCTCCCGGTAGTAAACATAGCTGCAGTGTGGACTTCCATCCAGCAGGTGCCCTCCAGAAATGCCCCTTCCCCCCTTAAAATCATAATTATATCAACATTCTTTATTAGCGTGCCATTTACTCCCATATTTCTAAAGGCAAAACAGCTTATACTTGTTCTGACTTGAAGGCCAGGCAAGAAGTGTGCTGGCACAGAGAGACCCGATGAATAGTACAAATGGGGATAAGAGAGCACACTTTCTGTCTCTCCTTGAAAGCATTCATTGCACTCGCCTGTACACGTACCAAGTGACAGAAGTAGTTGTTTGTGGAATGAAAAGCTAGCTGAGAGAGAAGTTCAAACCCCACACACTTTTACACCCTCTCAAACCGGTTTCATCACTGTGTGAAGTGGGCCTGAACCAAATGAGTTTGAAGCATATTGGTTCCCTGAGGGTGATCCCAGACACCCTGAGAAGGAAACTCATGTTGGCATCATGATCATGGGTGTGGCTTTGGTCCTGAATCAACCAGTACATTTTCCACCACAGTCCTGTGGATGCCAGCGGAGTGCTACAGGTGGCACTATGTAAGGTGGCAGATTGGATACTGTGTGCCATGTCTCGCACTACTTAGTCCTCGTGTTTTGTGCGGATGTTGTTGGGGATGGTATCTCTGCTGTGTTTTCCATGTGTCCGGCTGACTGTGTGCTCACTGTGTTCCCTCAGAGTTAAAGACCCAGCAGGAGCCCATGCTGACCTGTGAGCTGTGTGGCAGGGTGGACTTCGCCTTCGTCTTTAAAAGGTCCAAGAGGTTCTGTTCCACAGTGTGTGCCAAACGGTAAGACAATTTATTTCTCCAGCTCACTCTGTGGTAGAAGTTGTTTTGGTCCCGAGTACGTTTTTTGGCCCTGAAGTCCTTTGATGTCTGCTGATACCAAGTCATATAGTATACGTGATACTTACATTTAACTGAACGTTGAATATATATCTGACACATAACAGCTGTAGACTACTAAATCGCACATAGTTTATGTTTCACAGTATACTTAATCCTGTGGTTTCCAAGTTTTTTCCTTAAGAGACCCCTGTATTATTCTAGCTAGGCTTATTACTACTCCACTAGATGCCACTAAATCCCACAAACCTGACCTTTAAGGTTAATTCATAGAAAACATACAGACCTGTGGTTTTGCACTGACAGACCCTTCAGAGGCACAGACCTGTGCATAATGTACAATTATGGAGCTTGCAATGTTCCCACTCGTGAAAATTATCGAAAATAAAAAATGACCCAGCTAAGATTGATTATCAGGCTTTGCTCATTAAGATTACCTTTCAACTAACCATGTTAATTGTTTTTGTAGCTACAATGTGGGCTGCACAAAGAGAATGGGTCTCTTCCCAAACCGCAAAACCACCCTGGAGAACATGAAGAAACAAAAAGCACTGAATGGAAATCTCAAAAACAGTTTAGAGTCTAAAAAGAAGGTGAGACTGTAGTCAGCTTTTGACTTTTAATGTGTTATTCACCTTAACTGCCTTCTGTGTGTAAATCAATCCAGTCTGACTCATAGCTATCTCTGTTCTACATTAGATCCTCATTAGAGGCAAATATAATTCAAGTCTGATTTTGTTGTTGTATTTAAACCCCCGTGACAGACGGCTCCCTCCGTGCAGAAGCCCGCCGCTGCTGCTCTGTCCACCGGTCACTCGGTGCTCCCGGCGCAGGGAGAGTCCAGCCAATGTTCAGACTTGTCTGGCTACAAAAGATCCTCACCCCCCATGTCGGCCACCCAGCGGGTGCCTGCGGTGCAAGACTCTGAGCTGCCCCTGCTGCCCTACAGCTTCCTACCCAGTGACCCTGGCCAGTGGAACATAGGAGACGTCTACGAGTTCATCTCCTCTCTGCCAGGTGGGTGCTGCCTCAACTGTTACACTCTTACGTTTGTCCACGTCCAAATTTTGTGTAGATTCTTGCTGGCACCTTGAGAGTGAATTTAGGGTATTAATTATGTGAGATTTCTGGATTTCTCACTGGTTGGTTGGAAGTGGGACTGAAAAAGGTGATGTTACATATTTCCATGCATGAATTAGGATTAGAATTTTTGTAAAGGAGAGTTTCTGCAAACAGTCTGTAAAAATACATACATTTGTGATTGTTAGTTGGACTTACAAACAGATACATGTTATTCTAATACCAACCATGTGAAGAAATGTCCGGTGACAATGAATGTAGTTATGGTGTCGAGAGAGTTTTGCAGCACTGTGGTGTGAGCTGACTGTTGGTGGTGTGTGGCTGCAGGTTGTCTGGAGATCGCAGAGGAGTTCCGTTCTCAGGAGATCGATGGACAGGCCCTGCTCCTGCTGAAGGAGGACCATCTCATGGGAACCATGAACATCAAACTGGGCCCTGCGCTCAAGATCTTTGCCCAGATTAGCATGCTCAAAGACTCGTAGCCCATCTCAGCCCTCACACACACACACACAC